GATATAAATTTTATTATCACAGAGATACAAAAGTGTGCATTAGAATATTTGTAACTTTCTGTAAAACATCACAAAATGAAACTCTGTGCCATTACATATGACTGTAATGCCTGTTACTGAAATGCAGAAGCAGGAAGATGGTGAGTTAAGACTAACCTGGGCTATACACTGAGACCCTGTCTCAAATGAAACAGAAAGTTCCAAAGCAAAGCAAACAGAAACAAAGGAAGATTAGTAATGGGCTTAGCTCTCTCCAGTGACAGTTTTGATAAATAGGAAATTAAAAACCTTTATTTTATGCACATGAGTGTTTTGCCTGTTTATATGTCAGTGCACCACATACATGTCATGCCTAGTGCCTGCAGAAGTCAGAAGAATGTGTCAGATACCCTGGAAGCTGAGTTACAGATGGTTGTGAACTATCATGTAGGTGCTGGGAATCAAACTCAAGTCCTCTGCAAGAACAAACAGTGCTCCCGGGCAAATTTCTTAGTAACGGAATACATAGACACACATATTTAATGGTTTTCTCATGCAATTTGCATTCTGTCTCTGTTTTCCAGTGCTGGTGGTGCTAGAGCCGGCTTTTTAAGTCATTGTGGGTATCAGACTCAGGACCTCATGCTTTCACAGCAAGCACATGCACTTCACTGACTGAGCTATCTTCTAGCCCTATTTCTTTCTTCTTTCTTTTTCTTCTTTTTTGAGACACAGTCTCACTGTGCAGATCAGGGTGACCTTGAACTTAGAGGTATGGTTGTCTTGGCCTCTGGAGTGCTGGTGTTAAAGGCATGCGCCACCACACCTAGTTCCAGTTATATATTTTTAAAAAAATAAAAGGACATAAATGTCATAATTACCACATTTTCTGTTTTTTTTTTCTTTAAAACAGGTTTATTGGCATATTTTTTATTTTAGGCATCTATTATTTGTATTTAGTAAACTCTAGTGTCACACAGTTCAAACTTGAGCAATAAAAGTCCAAGTAACAAAGCTACTCTGTAAGCTCATACTTCAGAGCATAACCAGTTAATAGGAAAGGCCATTGATGAGGACAAACAAGAACATATTTACTCATATTTTAAACTTCTTCTAAGTACCTGTAACACAGTTTAGAACCTTTGCAGAAAGGAAAATACTTCTCAGGCATCATAGTTTTGAGAACATGGCATTACCTCATGGAAGAGCCCCAGGTTCTCCTGCAGGCATTTTACCTTTTATTTTACATAAAATTCCTAAGAACTTCCCATGAGGCTTTAGAGCTTAAAAAGTTATATGCATACTCCACTTATTCTTGAGTGAAGTGAGGCACGGCTAGACAATAAAAACATGTAGACCTGACTGGTTTCCTTTTAATAATTCTGCCCATAGGACGTGAGTAAATTCAATACCCATCAGTTCCCTTGTTTTCTAGGCTATATTTTCCCAGAGTTCCCTTTTCTCTTGCACTCGAATAGGCTATGAAATTGTGAACTTTTCCTTTTAGAGCCACCAGTTTACTCTGCATCTTTAACATGCTGTTGTCATACTGAATTCCCTCGAGGGCCTTCTGCATCCCCATGATTTCAGACACTGCCCTCAGCATATCGTCTTCCATGTTAAAAATTTGCCTAGTCAGGTCTTCCATTTTCTGTCCCCATCAGATCCTGAGGGACCCTGAGAAGAGAGTGGATTGCCTTTTCTATAGCTGGCAAGTGTGCCTTGCACTCTTCAACTTTGGGTTCGTAGTTGGAAAGTTCATTAGTGAGATCTTCATCCCTGGCTAGGAGTGTGTGCTGCTCTTCCTCTAGCTTCTAAGCTGCTCTTGCAGCAGAGCCATGCTGTGCCTCTACTCTTAGATGTTCTTTCTCTTGCCTGCTCACTGTTCTGATGTTTCGTGGTGTGCAGTCTTCTAAACCTTTTAGTCTTTCAGAGAGCAATTTTATTTCGTCCTCAGCTGAATTAATTTCTATGGTAACTTGAGAATGTATATGCTTTGCTTCTGATTTTAAAATGGCTGTAATATCACTCATTTCTGCCAGTGTCCTCGCCCAGAAGACTGTAAGGTTCCGGAATTTCTCATTAAGGTTTTGCGTCTTTTGTGTGAACGTCTCTTCACTATTCTCTACGTCACATGTAGATCTTTGGAGGCCAGATACTTCCTGTTCAAACTGGGTCATCAAAGACATGGATGATGTAGCTTCCTGCAAGATACTTTCAGTAGACTCAAGCTTATTTGAAATTAAACTGATTTTACTCTGTAGTCCTTGAAACTCACTGCTCTCTATTTGCAGTAACCGATATTGGTTTTCCATCTTCAAAAACTTTTCTGATTGTTGAAATACAAGCCAGGCCAGGCCCAGGCTGGTCGCCAGCTACAGCAGGCTGAGCCTGGTGCGGGGGTTGGGGTGAGGGGTCCTCCCAGCCCTCTCTGCCCCGTGCCTCCAGGGTCTTCCCGCCATCGCTCGGCGGCAGAGCTCTTGGGCCCCAGCTTCTTCCCAGCTCTTTACCTTGGACATAGCTGAAGCCCTCAGGATCTCCAGGCCGGGGAGGCTTGAAGGGGTAGGGGTGGGAGGGGGGAGACAGGACGGTGGGACATGCCCCTCCCCTTCTTAGAGTTTCTTGATAATAATTATCATTGATGGGAGTACTGAGGGACACTTCTTTATTCTATATTAGAGAGGCATATTTGTATTTCATCATGTAGAAAGAAATCTGAATATGCATTAAGTAGCCCAGAACATCACACTACTTACAGTTTGTTTGTTCTTAGTTAACTTTTAACCTAGATGTAACACAGGTGGGAACTTATGAGAAATGCAAGATTCAGCAGCCTTGAGTATATGTGAATTATCCACTATACTGAGAGAGGAACATAACAGAAAAGTATTAATATCATAAATGTCAGTGTCAAGACTGACCATCTGAGCAGAGGAAAAGACTAACCTTTGAAGTAATTTCCTGTTGATTCTGATTCTCTGTCATATATGCTAGCTGGAAATGGGCCAGAGAAGGAAGATTTAGTGGCAGTAGTTTACTGATTTTCCAGAATAGTGGATCTTTGAATAAAGTGCAGTCTCAAGATTCATTGTCTGTCTTTGTTCATTGGTTTCTGTAGTAGCAGGCAAGTCGGATCACCTTATTCCAGTACAACAGCAATCAGTAAGGGTATGGGATTAGTCACAGAACTGAAAGATAAGAAGAGTGAGGACAGGGAGGGGGCAGTTCTGGGAACGTATAAAGGAGTTCCCAAATTGCCATTGCCAACACACTTTTCCTAAGTTGACTGGGTACCAAATAAATTTAGTTTGCTCATAATTAAAATCTGAGAGCTGAGCATCTGGCCTACCTAGCTTAAGCCATTTGTGTACACTTTGGTCAGAGAAGGATGGCACCCTTGGTTGATAGTCTCCTTAAACTGTGCACGTTTAGGGAGTGACATTTCCCTAAAGGAAAATCAGTGATAGCAGAAGAGTGGATTGGAGTTTGAAAGGTAAAAACATATAGGAACATGAAGGAAGATGAGAACATAACTAGAAGTAGTGGGAGGAAAAATGCATAAGTATAGTAACAGGGATATTAATAAAATGATTTGAAGGTTCTAAGGGAAAGGGGAGAGAAAGAGAGAAAGGAGGAGGAAGAGAGGAGAGAAATAGTAAAGTATCATTTAAACTACAAAAAGGAATTGGCATTTAATACTCTTCTAGGGAAATAATGTCTTTACCATGGAATATGTGAAGTAGGGCAGAAAAAAAGTCAGATAAGGGAGCAGATTGAATAAAGTTAGGAGATTGGTTGTTTGGGCAACACTCAAGTGTAAAAAAAAAGTGTTGCTCTTTCTACTCCAAATAATGACACGAAAAGCACTATATCTGGGCAGACTCTTATCTCTTCTAACTTGACTGTTTTCTAACCTGACTATTCTAACCTGGACTATTTTCTAGCCATATGCCCCATTGTCTGCCATTTAGTTTTGCCTTGGCTGCTCCTGCTCCATCTGTGTCCTTATAGTGATTCTCCCATGGTGACGTTAGGGCTCCTCTTCAAGGCCATGTTCTCTTTGACCTTCTCCTGAAACCTCTTCTCTCTCTCCCACCTGGGACCCCCTCACTGGGATCGGAAGTCCCACCTCAATTCCCCTCACCTCTCCTGCCCAGCTATTGGCTGTTCAACTCTTTATTTACCAATCAGAAATGATAGAGAACAATTTTTACACAACATTGAGACAGGAAATTCTTCAACAATAATGATATTATCCATATGCAACTGCAACCAGATCTCTGGGCATAGAAATCAGCATCTGAATTCACACTGCACAAAACCTTTCCCCAACAACACACTAATTTTGTTTGATTTTAAGACTGAGCAGGAGTTTCCAAATTATACTCTGAAAATCTTTGTAGAAACTGAGACCTTGTCAAGGTCTCCACAAGGTCAAAACCATTTTTTCTTAATGAGATGATGCTTATTTCTCATATCCATTCTCTTGGGAGTACAGGATGGGTTCCTCCATCACTTAGTTCATCATGCTGCCATTATTTTGATGACAAGCAGAATGAGTAAAGCTTCTTTTTTAACTTAACAGTTTCCCACTTTTAATTTACATTATAGAAAACACAAAAATCTATAATTCACATTAACAAAATCTCGTTAGGACTCTGGGACTCTAATATTGGAAAGTCTGAAAATCACTGGTTTGTAATATATGGAGTAGAGATGTGGTATGGTGCATCAATCAAGCCACATGCTAAGGCATGTGTCCTTATCTGATATTGATCTTCAATGGGTTTTGAGCATGAGAATGTCATACATGGTGCTATTCTTTAAGAATAATTTAGAAGTAAACAATAATGAAAGTTGAAGACACAGAAGCAAAGGGTGGGAAAGGGATTACAGGGCTGCTATAAGATACTAGATGAGGGAAATTGCTGTATGACCCTATTTATGAGGAGTACTAAACAAATATCTATTCCTCCCAGATCAGGAACCAATAATGGATAAAAGTAATAATACCACCAATGTCCAACTTTGTGAAACAGTAATTTTATTGGTTTTACTTACAGATACATGAACAACTCAAAGACAGCTAAATCACTAAAAGCCTACACCAGCATGTATGACAATGAATGAATGCTGTAACTCAGAAGGTCTCTGGATAACTTGTAGGCACTTTGACAAGTTCAGAGAGTGTCCTCATCAGTTGTTATTGGTCATATAACCCCGAGGAAAGAGGAATGTTGTACATGTGGTATGTTTGAGGAACTACTGAGTCCTTTGAGTTAGTGCATCTTATGTCTTAATTAGTTTCCCACTAGGATGGAATATTTTAACATTGAGCAAATAGTTTCAGAACAGATACACATTCCTGAAGAAAGAACGAGGATAGAAATTCAGAGAGGCAACCAAACTCTTCTGGGAGTGGTTATTGCTAAACTTACCATATGAACATAGACGTTTCTGGAATGCAAGATATTAACAATGAGTGGTTTTGATATTTGAGCTTTGCTGCTTGTTATAGTTAGTTTTCTATAGTACATTTACTGCACCATGAAGTGCCTCAGTATTTGGTCAAATATTGGCTATTTATGTGAGGATAGATTCTGAATGCAATTAATATTTAAATTGGTAGACTAAGTAAAGTGATTACCTTCTGTAATATGTATGGACCTTATCCAATCAGCTGAATCCCTGAAATAATTAGCTATTGTAGAAGGCTAACACTATCTTGATTAACCCTTACCTGATTAGTCAGTGATCAGGATTAAATACAGGATGCTGTTTCTGCTAGGCAAGTCCTATACTAGTAAGCCACATCATAGCACCCGGCTCCCCATAGCCTTTCACTCTTTTTTTCTATCAAGTCTGCTGTCCTTTAAACTAAAACTGTAATATAAACTCTGTAAATGTTGGACTTTCTATCTCCTGTGTGAGACACTGTGTTCCTTTGTGCATTTACATCCATACTTGGGTACATGTACTATTGCTTCTTTAGATGGCAGTTCAAACGAAACCATCTGAAGGGGAAATTTTCTAGTTCATTTGTTCGAAGTCAACTCTTTAATGTTGTTAGACATGAGATCCATGACTATATAATAGTAAAAAGAACACCAGTAGAACATGGCTAGATCTGGCAGTAGAAAAGCATGGCCACTATCTATGTTAACCAAATACTTCTAAAAAGTGACAGTATGGATCATCATATGTATAATATTTTGAACTGTTTTTTCCAAATAATGAATTTGGTTGCTTGCTCCTAAAATGAGTTTGAAGATATAAACACCTTACTATACACATTATTTTACCTGAAAGCTTTGTTAACCTAAATGCAAACCTCTTACCTATAGAGGTTGTATTATGGAAACCTGAATACTTGATTTCTTTTGTTGTTGTTCAAATGACTCAATGACAATGAAGAAAATGAAGTTCACAGGTTGTCTACTGTTAAAATAAGAACATCAACACAGAAGAAATGGACAGTGTAAATTGAATTTGAGATGATGTATAAAGATGGATGGAGCTGGGGACATTGACTATCTAAATTCTGATGACATTCTTTGCTGGTAGAATGTACATTTATTATTTGAAAAAATTAACCCTGCATTCTTTAGGAAAAATGATAGTCTCCACATCACTAAGAGTGTGGGACAGGTCCAACTCAGATTTTCTGGGTCTTGTGAATGGCCCAAAATATATGGAGTTGCCAGTAGTAGAGACTTAACCTTCTACCTCTGTGAGGAAGATGAGGGTTATAGGGATCTGTTGGACAACACTGAAACCTCAAAAGGCATATTTTTTTTGCCAGATATTGCGGTTTTTGTTAGGTAGTCTATGGCTCTTGGAGTATGGAGTCTCATTCTTGGACCACTGCTGTAATTTGAATATGTAGTAATGTTCATGTATTAGAAACTGAGTCACCAGTGCAACAGAGTTAGAAGGTGTAAGAACATTGTCATGGGAATGAATTATCACAAGTTCTTGAAAAAAGCTTGAATTTGATCGCCTTCCCTCTTTGCCTTCCACATTCCATTATACGAGGATGCAATTAGAAGGGTATTGTTTGGTTCGTGAGTGGCTCAACAGCTAAGAACACTGCTCCTCCAGAGGTCCTGAGTTCAACTCTCAGCAACCACATGGCAACTCATGACAATCTATAAAGGAATCTGGTGTCCTCTCTGGCATGCAGGTATACAAGCAGACAGAGGACTCCTACATTAAAGAGAGAAGGGGGGTGTCTTGCCAATGTGGGTTCTTTTACTTTAATCACCCAGCCTTCAAAATAGTAAGAAAGAAATATTTTTATGCTTTATAAACTGTTTTGTTGTAGTATCATGCAACAGACAAAAACAATTGTTAAGAAAAATAGCTACCCTTCAATTTAAGCCCAGTGCTTACTTCTCATTCTCTTTGCTTTTTAAATTTACTTTCTTATGCTGAAATCCTGTTCTCATGTATGTTTCTGTATTCATGACTTTTGCCTCTAAGAAAAAACCTGTAGGATATTAATAGTGTTCCATTTATTTCACCTAAGTTCAGGAAAATGCATGGTTATCTGGTAGGTATCAATAAGAATAAACACAACTGAATGGAGCTGTTAAATATACTTTAACAGAAGGCTCAAATGGCTAAAAAATATAGTCAGGAAATCTAGGGTGCCCTATTGCTCTCAGATCTCTGTGCGGAAAGTAAGAGTGCTCCCTGCCATCTTCTTCCTATAGTCTTCATCAAAATCCTCGCTTTGTGCAACAGTGAAGTAGTTTTTCCAGTCTCCAGGCATCCCTGAAAGAAAATGAAATCTCAGAGATTGCTGCAGGTACAGAGGGAGGACTGATTATTTCCCCTAGGATGTGTACCAAGATGCACAGGTCCACAAGCCACCTCTCCAACTCTACAGCTGTTAGCTAAGAAAGTCAGATAGCATGGAGCATTGGTGAAAAATATAAGTCAGCTATAGAGCCACAATATTTATTTCATATCCCAGGATGTTAACCTACCTTTCCTCATGAAAGGGGAGATAGAGTGGTCCATGATGCTGGTGGGTAGAGTGGTATAGTTGGCCATTGGGTTTTGCTTCATTACATCGAAGGAGGTGTGATAGATGATTTTATTTAGAAGTTCTTCTGATATGTCTTTTTCCAGGAATTTTACTATCTTCTTAATTTCTCTCTTGGGGTCCTGTACATGGAACAGTTATAAACAAAACAAAACAAAACAAAACAATTTTGGTCTTCCATTAATTTATTGACAAACAACATTTGGAAAAGGATGTGTCAAGGGGCCAACTGAAATTTATCTTAAATAGTTTTAGTGCAGGGTACTGACTGACTGTACTAAGTTCTACTCCTGCCCTTCAGGATATTCACTTGTAGCAGGCAATCAAATAGCTCTAGAGACAAGACTTGGAACCTTGGGAGGGGAGCTTTGGCATATCAGAGGTGTCATGGATTATGTGAAGATCATATGAAAGAGAGGTTCTGTTGATTTGTGTGACTAGGACTGGTATACTGGTTATAAAGGCCAGCAAAAAGAGATTGTGAGTTATGAAAAGTCTAATAAGAAAATGAACAAAAGAGCTATCAAGTCAACCCAGGCAGAGATGTGAATGAGGCAGCTTGCCTCATTCTGATGAAAGACAAGGAGCTACAACTTCTGGTTAAAGCACACTGGACTTCTTAGCTTTGGTATAGAAGATGGGTTTGTAACTTAATACACCAATCTGCAGGATTGTGAGAGTAGATCTGTGCTCTAAATTAATCCTGAATACTACAGAAAAACCAATTCTACCATTTGGGGCCAAATTTTAAGTAAGCGTTATTAAATATTAAAAGCTGACTAAGAGATGGACTTTGGTCAGGTCAATTCTGCAGCATTTCTCAGCTGGAATGAATTCAAGTCTTGTGTTGCAGGGGTTTATAAGTATAAAGGTATAGACCAACTATTTTTCCATGAGGCTTTATTATTTTCAAAAACTACAACTCCCAGCATTCCAAAAAGTAACCTGGAAAAGTGGGGTTTACAGGTTAATTTTGGCATTAGACTTTATTCATTCACAATGAAACATAAAGAAGTGTCAGCTCAGTACCCCACTGTGTGTGTCTAATACTGCCAGTATTCACATGGACTAGACCTTAGTTAATGATGAACTTCAGGGGTGTGGAAGAGAGAGAAAGAAGATAAACTTTTTGTTCTCTACAACTATGACTGAATAAATCTCTACAGTCACTTTGTGAGAAAGAAAACAAACCAGTTTTTAGATAATGAAACGTGGCTTGGGAGTGAGTGTCAGAATCTAATCAGTTGATTTGACTATAAAACTTGCTCTGTTTTCTAAGGAGGAAAGATACTCTGAAAACTAGCAGAAAGAAAATCAAAATAAAACTTAGAAGCCAAACAAGTAGTTGCAGCTTCTAGGGAAAACCTGAGTTGCAGAGTTTCTAAGGGAAAACTGAGTTGCAGAGTGTCATGGAGGCAGAGAACATCCTCAAGAGTATTCTGCAGACAAGCTCACATCCCAGAGTGTCACTGGGATATTTGATATGAGAATGCAGGAAGATGCAATGGAGATCACACTGCCCTCACCTCTTTCATGTCTTCATAAAAGAGGTAGAGAATACGGTGTTGGTCTTTCACATCCCACCAGCCCTTAACGTGGTCATACCAGGAGCCCCACAGCACTGAGGAGGAAAGAGATGGGATGTCATTGTCACCTTGAAACTTATCACATGAGAATGGTGTTAAATAAAAGAGAGCAATTGTTAAACAGTTGAGAACAATTGTATAAACAAATGTAAAGATCCTGAACAGAATTCTTACTTGTAGAAGACAGTTTTACACACATACACACTTGAGAATTTCTCAGCCCTCTCCTTCAAGACTTACCAGATATATGCCCCCTCTTCTTCCTACCCAACTTTGTATCTTTTTATCCCCATCAAGGCTAATTTGTACTCCCCAAATATTCTTCAGTGTCTGGAGCATACTAGATTTACCAGAGGCTATACTCCCACATAAAACTGACTCATTATATTCCAACAACTAACAATCTCAGTAATTCATTTATTAGGGGAGGACCCTTATGCCCAGCTTTTAATGCTAGAATTTGGTGTGGCTTGGGCTTTCACAAGGCTTATGAATACTACCGCAATTAGAATATATGGACAGCTCCCCTCCTGTGGCCAGAAGATAGTTTTCTTGTAGTCATTCACTTCCCCTGGCTCTTAAATGCTTTTGACCCCTCTTCCTTTTGTAATATTGAGGGAGATGATAAGACACATTCTGAAATCCTTGTTTTTTTATTCCCATCATTCAACTTTCTCTGAAACAAAGGGTTGTTTTATAACTAGGTTCAAAACATTTACTTTTCTTGCCTTATCACATAGCACATAGATTAATGTTAAGCAATAATAATTTATATATAATATTAATTATTTATATAAATTATATATTATATCATAAGAATATGATTTTGAATAAAACCTTGAGAAAATCTTTTGCTACCAGGTATCTGGGCAACTTTGCTTTCTGTGATGGTGAGGGCTAAGAAGTGTGCTGGTCATCTTTTACTGGCTCTGAAAACCATGCCCCCAAAGTGAAACTCAGTTTATGGTTGTACTTTGTTCAAAGAGGCACTGGAAGGCTTTTTGAGACAGGAGGATGGTGCATTTATTTCCTTGGTGTACTTCCTGTTGGTCACTCTGGTTGACTGCTGCCACTGCTGTCTCAGTTAAGGGTCCCTCTGATAGCTCCAGGGGATAGTATACCCCAGAAACCCTCACTAGCCCTTGCTGACTTTCCCAAACTCTGTTCACGGCTCTCAACAGTATCTTTGCCAAAGTCTTTAGAGATAACCTAGTCAGACTATATCATCTACTTCCTTGAATGACCTTGAGGGATGCAAATGCCTACTGAAAATCTTGTCTTTTGTCATCACATGGGTTAGGAAGCAGTACACCACTTTTTTCTTTCACTCACCTTTTCCATCTTTGAATATTTCAATGTATTCTTCCAGGGTACCAGGGTCAGGCAGCATTCTGTTCATTCTTGAGAAATGGTAGTAGGATACTAGGCAGTCCTTGGCGTTTCTGGCCACATAGATAATCTAGGTTTGTCCAGTACAGGGAATGGGAAGCAGAGAGGAAACAAGACAGGGAATTATCACTATTCAGTTTTAACACTCATGTTGTTTGAAAGCATTTTGAATATAGCAGGTTAATTTATTGGAGGAATTGGGTGTGCATGTGTTTTTATGATCAACATGACTACCTTTTCTAATTTGCTCACCAACCATTCTGATTTATAGCTGTAGTCTTAACATTATTACTAATTGTATCCTTTTTATTTTAAAGGTGTTGTGGATTACAGGATAAATGTTGCTGTTACCCTAAATTAACTTGGGGAATAAGGAAGCTGCCCATGGTGCCTTAGTTCATTCTTACTGCTGTAACAAAATGCTCAGGACAGGGTGCCTTATTCACAACAGAAATTAATTTCTCATAGTTCTTGAGGCTGGAGAATCTAAGATGAAGGTGTCTAAGATATTTGTAATGGCATCTTTGTATAAGGAAGACAATGGTATGATCTAACAAAGGAGAGGTTACTTGTCTTCTTGTCTTGCTGTCTGTCCCCTTCTTTTCCTTACTACCTGGCTCCCTTTCTAGTATGTGGCTGTATGTGTTTAGGGGAGGAAGAGACTGTTACAGTTTGACATGAGTAGCATTCCCCCATTTGGCCAGCTATAGATTTGATACTTGAGGTAGTGCTTCAAGGAGCTACTGTGGGCATTTCAGAGTCAGTGCTTAAAGGGAAATCCTTAGGGCATTGGCGGTATACAATCCAAAGGTATTGTGGACCTCTCCCTCGTTCTTTCTACTTTGAGATTCAACTTCTTACTTTGGATTTTATTTCTATTATTATATGATACTCTTACTAGAGGCCCAACCAATAGTACTGCCTAAACCTCCAGAATAAACCAAAATAAACCTCTTCTTACCTCATCAGTACCTTGTGCTAAGCATTTTGCTGTAAGTAACACTGCAAGCCTTCTTGTCTGAGATAAGCATACTTGTGTTTTCTTAAATACTTCTGTCTGATGCCTCAATCATTTGTTTTCATCCTGGTGAATTGAGGGTATGTTTTTCCAACTGCATTTTTGCCAATATTTTCAGTCCTTTATGACTGGTTCTCTGCTCCCTTTCTTGCTAAAATTTCTACTCCATGTTCATTAAAGCACTTAGAAACCCAAAAGGTGTGAGGCACTATACTGACTGCATGAAACATGTTCTAGGCTATAAAAAGAGACTGCCACATAGGCCTGAACTCTTGTCAGAACCCCCTTGTCAGAACCATACTGTCTGTCTGCCCATGGTGGTATTAAGAATTCTTTGAATAAACCTTTTACCCAAAAAGACAATGTGTTTTGGTATGTCCCTTGAACCTCAAACCCCACAATCTTTCAGAAATGAACACCAACAAGCTTCAAAGGTGCCCTAGGTATACTTTCAGGAAAACAGGCAACATTTTGATACCAGGACAACTATTTAGCTGTATTGTATGTTGTTTGAACACAGTAGATGAGCAAGATAAAGGATTTGTGAATCATGGAAACCATTCCCCCAAAGAGATAATTGAGAGTATTCAAAAGCATTTGTGTCCAAGCACTACAGTGAGGAAGGTGTCTTAGTCAAACACACTTGTCAATTAGTGTTTCCTTAGAAAATTCAGGCCAGACTATGAGAAAGTCTGCTATAGTCCTAACTTTGGGGCACTTTGTAATCTCAACTTGCTCTTTTAGCTGCTGCCACACAGCTTAGTTTCCAGAGGGATTTAATGGCACAGCTGACATGGACTTTTGATTCTGTTACATAGTCACACTTTCTGCTGCATTCTAAAGTTGATACTTGATGTATATGCCACTTTTCCATGTTAATATTATCTATTTCAAGACTTGCTGATGAAATAGCTATCAAGCCCTTCTCCCTTTAGCTGTGTATTGGTACATGCATAGGTAAAAAGGTCTGGAGTTTTATGAGTTTAGTGAGAATTGTGTCTATACTTGTATTGGCTCAGAAGTAAGACATGTCAAAACAAAGTAAATATTGGAAAAAGAAATGCTATAATGGGATCTAGCTTTGTTATATAAGGTCTATAAGGGTAGATCAAGTTTTTGTACATACCAAATTAGAGTTTAATTCCAAAAGGAAGAGTAGAGTACCAAGTTTTGCCTACAAGATGGACATGTTCTTATTGGTATTCATTAGACTGGGGTGTTTGGCCTATGGTTGTAGAAAAGGTAATTTCAAATGGTCTCACCTACTACAGTCTGAACCAAAAACCATGTTCTGGACAAGGCCACATTTCAAAAGGGATACTATTGGCTAGGATTTGGCACAACAGGAACCCTAAGGCAGGTAAGGCTCTCTGATAGTTTTTTTTTTTTTTTAGTAGGACTCTTAACAGCTTTGTTGAATATTGCTTGGGGCTATAGTACAAACTATGCTTTCAGAATCCTTCTGGCCTCTTCCTTGTAGGATCATAAACATCCCCAAATTCAATGTCTTATTTACTTTTCCATGGAGCTTTCCCCAAATAGGCTGCTCTTTCATTTACATCCTCCTTGGCCCCTGCTTCACAGTGGTTCCAAATTAAAACTCCACCTTCAACCAGAAACCCCTGCTTTGTATAATTGATTTCTCTCATTTAGCACAGGTTAGTGGGCAGATGATCAGAACTTTGTATGAAAACTTCCAATGGTATCCAGCAATAATATTCTGAAGGGAAGGTGGGTGCAAAGAGGAGTATGTGGTCTTTGGGGTAATGCCACCACCCGTCCTATAATTCTTCCTGTTTCTGTTTTAGTGATGGAATTGGGTTCTTACCTTTGAGTTTTCTTTCCAGAAGGAAGGTGGTACCATCTGAACAGGCAGGTGAGTCTTTAGGGTTCTGGGTGAAGGCATTTTGTTAGCCAGATCCAGACCTAGAAGTAAGACCACACTGTTTAGCCAGGTTTTTCTCCCCATCTATATGTACCCAATGTTGTGTTAAACAATGGAAATTGTATTGGCCAAATGATTGACTCTATGGTCTTACATACGTAAGACCTATGTCTCCCTCCTTTTTGCGGAAGCTTTCCAGTTCATCCTAGATACAATGATGGATGGAACTACACCATCCATCTATTTAGTTATACATACATCTTTCCTTTTACCTAAACTTGATTGTATGTCAGGATCCTGAAGATGGACTGGGAAAGGGGTAATCAGTGGAACTTTTAATTTATTTTGTAGTGGGCTCTGAGCTATAGTTATGCCATCCTGTGAAGGTATCCTAAGAACACTATAACTACATTGGGTAAACTGGTTTCTAGACCAGCCATAAATTTCTTGACCTCAAGGCTATGAGAAATGCCTGAGCCCTAAACTGATGTTTCTCCACTTCTGTAAACAGTACTCCCTTGCTGCATACAGCTTCTGTTCTGTATACATATCAATTGTGGTTTTTGCCTTTGAAAACAAATTGGAGGTTGTGGCTGCTTCTTGCCACTCTGTCTGGTGGTTGTTGCAGGATATTTGATTCCATTGTGAATCCCAAAGTTATGAACTGTAAAAGCCTGTTTCTTGTTTGGTGTGGTTGAGCCCTATAACCCACCTTTAATCCAAAATTTTTCTGTTTATTGTAAATAGGTGATTATGGTGTGGTTTAGCCAGCCCTAACACACACCTTTAACCCAAGAGCTTTGTGTACAATGGAGTCAATAAAATTAACCATAGGTCAAAAGATGGAGCAAGAAATCAGCTGGCAGGGAATAAAGAGCAGGAGGGATTTTGAGTTGAGTTGAGGGATATTTAAGACAGTGTGGAGAAATAGAAAAATAGCTTATGCCCTGGCTTTAGCTTAGGCTTCAGTTCCTCAGCTCCCTGGCTTTTTGGGCTTTGAGATAGCAAGCCTTTGGCCTTGGGTTTTTTTGGCCTTTCCTTCCTGGGCTGTAAGCTGAGCTAGGAGCCTTTTGGATTTTTTTCCTTCTGAACCTGAGCTGAGAAGGAAGGTCAGTTAGGAGCCTTTTCTGCCTCTCTGAGCTAACAGGTTTTCACCCCAGCATCTGGCTCCTGAGTCTTTATTGGTAAAATAGAATGGTTCGGATTTTTATTTTTGATTGTAAAAACAGGCAGTAAATAAAGGCACCATATAATTTGACTTACTCAGGCCTCTCAGGTGTTTTGTTTTTTTTTTTCCTCAAACCCATAACATTTGGAGGCACCACCAAAATCCCTGAGGATAAGACCCCTGCCTAGGTAAGGGTAAGAGCTATTAGTTTTAGGGAGGCCATTGAAAGAACGTTCCTCAGAAATTTTCTACCCCCCCACCAACTTGCCCCCTAAAACTAAAAAGGAGTCCACCTTTGAACCTGTAATCAGGCCTTCTGGAGGTAGGATAAACCAAGGTTTCTGGTTTCTGGTAGGTCTGGGGGGCTAATTACCATGGGACTTATGGTAAAATCTGGAAATAATGTAAAGATTCTTGAGTCTAGGTTGTGACCAAGACAACACCACAAACCCTCAGGATCTAGTTTGTCTTGGTGGCCACCAATATGTGTCCTGTGCTTGTTGGATTTATTTTCATTGTCTTGGTTGTTTGTGTTCTGTGTTTCTGGGCACCCTCCTCCATTAATCTTTTCCATTTATAGGCAGATGTGGGAAACAGAACCTCATTGATGCTCTTAACCTCCCCCTTGGAATGCATGTTTAAAAACTTTAAATTAGGTTTTAGAACATGAGAGTCAGAGTGTGGAGTTCATTTCTCCAAGGGAACTCTCTGCTCACTTTGTAAATTGGATTGGCTGTCTTTCAGTGTCAGATGACCTGATATTAGGTCACTTAACATTGAAGATGATGCCAAGGTTCAATGTATTGTTTTAAAAAGATGTGGTTCAGTTTTCCTATGTTTGAATGTGGCTGGATGATCTAGAAACACAGCCTTCCTTGCTGGTAGAGTACAACATGCATAGAATCCAGAAGATCTTAATAGTACAGAAGAAAAAGCCTCCCAAACTGTCAGAGAACCAAGACCCTGAGTTTTTACAGCCATCCTATCCTGAACCTATGAATTCTTCTGAGCCTGAACCCCACTACCATTGACTCTATCCTTAGCTTTTCCCATACCTGCAGTGGGCCCCCTCTGCCCTTATTCCCTATTCTCATTTATATAAAAAAATTCCTTTCCCTGTCTCATCCTCAAAGGACCCATGTATATCTAATCTTCAAGCCCAGGTCCCTCTATGGGTCTTTGGCTTCTCTACCCCAAGGAAACCACAGGTGCTGATTCTTACCACTCCTACAGCTCCATGTATGGTCTAGGTTGCTTTTCCACCAGTGAAAAAATCAAAACACCTACCTCTATGATAAAACTCAAGGTTTAATTTCTTTTCTCAGACAGTGTTTCACACTCACCAGCCTACCTGGAATGATTTTCAACAACTCTTCTGAACTCTATTTACCTTAGAGAAGAGAAGAGATAGACAGATAGAGAGAGAGAGAAAGAGAGAGAGAGAGAGAGAGAGAGAGAGAGAGAGAGAGAGGAGAGATTTGAAGGGAAGCAAAAAAGACCCTCTGATTCTGGAAATTGCCTTTCTGTCTACATTCTTCAAGGGACTATACAAGGTAAGGGAGCTTTCTATATGTTTTTCTGGACTCTGATAAATGATGTCCACAATGCTGCACAGAGCCTCAAACTTGTCCAAGGTTAATGAAGTTTTCCAAGGACCAGCTGAAAGTCCTGCCACATTCTGGAGAATCTGTTGGAAACTTACCAGACCTATGTAATTACTGATCCAGAAGCCCCAGAGAATAGAAGGGTTATTAACATAGCCTTTGTTAAGCAGTCATATCTAGTGATCCTGATGCCCAAGAGAACAAACCTGTGATTAATATAGCCTTTGTCAGTCACACCAGCAGACTAGGAAGCCCCAGGGAACAGACACACATCTTTAAGCCCACCATCCCAGTAGCAGAGACAAGCAGATATCTCAGTTCTAGGCCAGTCCACTCTGCAGCATAAGTCCAGGACAGTGACGCTTAAGCAGTGAAGGAGACTATTGAAAATAGAAAGCTGGTGAAAATGTATTAGAATGAGGGGGTCATGTTCCAGCCTTGGTAAGCAGCAAATCTTGGCAGCTTCTGGCTTTAGAGTCAAGGATACAAGCAAGGAATTATGGAATTTCCTTTTGCAACTAAGAAAAGCTGCAGACCCCAGGAGTGCTTTGGCATAGAGGCCTAGAGAGGCCATTGTATGAAGCTGTGAAGGTGAAGCCTGAATTGCCTTGGAGACCCCAAGATGGTGGAGATCTCACCATCACTGGATAACTGCCAAGAAAAGCTGCTAACAGAAAGTGGAATCAACCCAAGTGGGAAAAAAAGGTGTTTTGCAGTCAAGAAAAGTAAAAGTAGTTGGAGACCTGAAGAGCTGAAGAGTGCTTTGACATCAGACGTGGAAATGCAGAATTTGGAGACTACGCAGCTGTTTTTCAGTCTTGCTTTGGTCCAGTATTTTCTAAATATACTTAATTTCCTCCCATTTAGAATGATAAAGTATTTTATGTGTAATTATATGGTGGCACCTCCTGAGATGATCAAGGTGAAAGAACAAAAGTCTGCTTTGGTGGACAGCTTTAGAACTTACGCAGATAGTGGCCTTATATCTTTCACTCTGTGCTGAGGCAGCACACCATAGTCTGAACTGTAGCCCATGCATGCTTTCACAGAGCTGTTTCACATGCATGGTACTTCAGAGGCTTGAACACAATGGGCTCTATGCCTTGTGTTAACCTCGGCTGCTTTCAGACTTCTTTCTGGTACCAATTTAAAGTACTTTTTAGAAGGAAGGTTGTTGGGAGCCATGACTCCAGTGGCCTGCTTTGATATTTAAATCTCAGTGGAGAGATGGCTTTTAGCAGGTCTTTACTAATGGCAGAGAAGAACTTGCAAGTCCATCTCCTTTGGTTTGTGACAGCAGGTGGGATAGCTTGTGAGGGTCACACCTCTTCCTCAGGCTCCTTGTGGAAATTAACCCATTGTTTTGAGATATTTTACTGGCTAAAAGAAACTACTCACAATTAAAGAGGTCAGAGGGCTGGAGGCAGAGGAGGAGGCAGAGACTTGAGACTTGCTGCTCGCACTGCTTGCTGCAGCAGCCTGCCTTTTGCTGTGGCTGTCGAGTCTGGACCTTTAAAAAGTTTCCTGTGTGCTGTGTGTTTATTTTATTAATTTTAATCCTCACTCCTGACTCAAGAACCGTTCGACTCTGCTGGCTGGCTCCGGCAGAAGGTTATAGAAGTAATCTTCCTCTGAGGTGAAAACTAATACTGCAAAATGGTTACAGTCCTCTACACCACAGTTGGGCGATTTACCTGAGTTGAGGGGTGGAGGCAAAGTCCACTCGATGAAAGGGTGACGGTTATAGGTGTTGGCCCGCTGGCACTTTTCTACATCCCCATCATTTTGGATCATGTCTACAATTTCCTGTGTCCAGGTGGTACCTAGAAGCATCAGTTATTTTCAGTTTTACCCACTCATGGCATAATTTAATTCTATTTAAAAATTACACATATCCTCAGCTGTGTTCAGATTTGCTGTTTTCAGGATGGAATCAATTGTTACCTTCTCTGAACACTGTGTGTGTGTGTGTGGGGGGTGGCGGTAGGTCTTCCTGTAAGCACCAGTGGCCCTCAGTGCTCATTGTCACCATATGCTTATAGTATATGATTTCTTCTAGTGTCTTTGTTTTCTTTTTCCCCGCTATTTAGTAAAGTATGTTGTCCCACATAAATGCAGTTTGGTGAATAAATATGGAGTCAGGTAAATGTGGACTGAATCAACAATGAGTTAGTCAATGCACTTTCTCTAATAAACTGTTGATTTTTTTGCTGGAGACACGATAGAGACTTTTTCTTGCTTGTATGCCATCCGCTCTTCTCTTTCAAATTAAGAGATACTCCCAATTTGGTTAGGTAATTAGCTACTTAATTCAAAGGTTACAGTTTTCAGTCTTTCTTTTTTATTGTCATTTATTACAATTTATTCAGTTTGTATCCCTGCTTTGGTCCTTTCCCTCATCTCCTCCCAATCCCATCCTCCCTCCCTCTTCTTCCCCTATGCCTCTCCCCTTGTCCACTGATAGGGGAGGTCCTCCTACTTTTGGCATCTCTGTTCCTCATAGATAAACCCAATGTACTAGGTGTACACATAGCCAAAGGATAGCTGTTGCATAGGAAGGCTGGAAAGGGGGAATGTGCTGGAGGAGTGCACATGAAGGTTGGTTACTTATTGTTGAAAGGCCTTAGAGGCTCAATTGAGTAGAACTATAGCAGTTTTGGTATGAAGAATGAAAGTATGAAGATGTCCCCTGCCCAAAGAATAAAAGCATTACTTGGAGAGGTCCAGGGTCAGTGTGTTCTACCTGGAAGTGTATGCAGATTTCATGGGAAGGAGAGAGATGCTGAGAGAAATACTGTAATAAAAGCAGAGATGGGAGAGGAGAGAGGAGAGAGAAGGAGAAGAGGAAGGAGAGAGAGAGAGAGAGAGAGAGAGAGAGAGAGAGAGAGAGAGAGAGAATTGCCTAAAGGGCCTTCCATGATTTCCAAGCTGGTCTTATCCAAAATTTCTGCTCTAAAGAAAAGTGCATGTTGAAGTTCAGATATGGAGGAAGCCACATGTTCAGTGACAGCCATACAGAAATGGATAGCTTACTGAAACTTGAAGCTCTGTTTAGAAACTCCTAAGCTATGTCTTGGCCCAGTGAGCAATAGGAATAGAAATGCCAACAAATATGGAGAACAGTAGTAGCCCTTTTCCAAAATTCATCTGTATCTTGATATCAAAGGTCTCTGTAACTAATCAAATGTACAAATTGTTAACCCCATCACATTGTGTGGGGTGACAAAAATAAATGGTATGAGGAAGGGGAAAACCCTCACTAGTCATTCACCAATGTTTTTTCAAGAGGGAGATTCTTTAGTTTTCCCCACTGATCAGGCCTATGGCATCCTTTGTCTTTCTGATCTTTTCTCTGTAGAATCCTCTTTGCTGTCTAGGATTTTAATAACTGGTTCCTTCTTCTCTATTTTTTCTACAATGGGTATGCATGGGCTCTCAGCACTACTTATGGGCTGCAAGCACTCAGGTCCACTCTAATCTAGGCCATTAGAAGGAACAGTTTAGGTGCTAGAGAGGTGAATAGAAAAGGGTGGCCTGGATGGAAGAACTTGCCCAAAGAATGTCCATTTTATTTACCAGAGTATATACTTTGTAATTTTTGTGTAAACACCTTGTCATTTCATTCAGTCTTTGGCAGTTTGTGATGGTAGAGCCATCTCTGTCTTTCAAAAGTTTAATTAGAGGAAGATCCTGTAGGTTGGGGCATTGACACTTATGAATTGAAGTAGATTGTTTTGTTTTGTTTTGTTTTGTTTTGTTTTCCAGGGACTTGCCCAGATAAATCCCCACATATCCTCTTTTAATCCAGATGTCCGTGTCAGAGGCACTTGTTCTGTGTAAGTGGCCTTTCCTGCTACCATTCCTTGCACTCACCTGCCTTTGCATAGGTTGCAATGAGGAGGTCATCAGGCTTTGCTTGGAAGTTCCATATTTTGTCCCAGTTATCACTTGTCAGCTTGGACATGAGGATCCCATTCACTTCTTTGGTTTCTGGCTGCAGGTGCTGTTCTTCAAGATGGAGGTCTTTCATTTCTTCCAAGGACATTTTAGAATGGGGACTTGACAGATTCTGTAGGAAGGTGAACATGTTATCTCAGGTGGTCATAAGAGTTACTGGCATCTTTTGTGTTCATTTAGCAAGAAAAGTAAAAATGTAGGTTTGTAGAGCATTTGAAAAAGCCTGGTTTAAAGAAATAAACATCTCGAGGGTACAGCTACCTAGGAAAAAGATAACCATCAAGGAATCTGCCATTTTGTATTGGCTCTTTGGAACCAGCCTGTCTAAGGCCTTAGAAACAGGCAGAGACATGGTTTGTGCCATAGCCTCTTATAAGGTTTGAGGAACATGAAATATATTAAATGCAAAATAGTGCTGAAGTGGATGGATGTGAGCTCATTAAACTATTTCTTACAAAGTTTACAGAAATGACTTCATAAAACAACTTGTTAGGGTCCCTTTCTATGGGACTGTGTTCATCAAAGGATCATAACATGGCAGTTTGCATGACAGAAATCTTTCTGGAAGTCTATAGTGATAAGTGTTTTAGCAGTGGTAGGGCTCAGCTAAAGAACAATTACCCCCTAAAGCCATCTTGTTAAAGGTGGTCTGATGCATGTTACTGGCCCTCAAGATCTGGGTACATCTATCCTAGTTATGTAACCCTATCTGATTGGCTGATTAAATGGCCTATACCTGGGCAGGGAAGAATGGAGTATGTGTGGCTAAGATTCCCAGGCCTTTGAGGACAGAAGAATCATGTGAAATCAATGGATGGGAATGGAGAAAGAAGGAAGATGGCATTGGATGAGGGCTGGGAGTTGGATAGTAAAGTTATTGTGACAGCATAGATGAAATATCTACCTGGCCCAAGGCAAATAAGGCAATCATAAAATCTAACAGTTTCTGTATCTTATTAATTGTGATAGTGAGTTAGATAATACTGCTGTAATAATCTTAGGGCTGATAATAAACAGTAGCCCAACACTTACTACAATACCATCCCATCATTTTGGAGGAACAAACCTAATGGTGAACTGGCTATAAATGTGTCCTCCTGTATTGTCAGTTGTGCCAGGTGCTAACAGTTATAGGTGCTGGCAGGGTATGCAGTATTGTCATTTCCATAGTCCTACAAGACCTGGTTTCTATATGTACATGTTTGCCGCTACCTCACCTGACTGAAAAGATGTAAACAGAGTAATCGAGGGACCTCTGAGATTATCATGTTCAAAAGGAAGCTGCCCTTGGTGAGGTCACATAGCTCTCAATCTTGCCAATAGGTAACAAGGGTTCATGCCATTACCTGTAGTTCTCAATGTTGTATATGAATTTAATAAAGTAATGGTAGTGGTCACTCCATTTATAAGAAACAAGTATTTTCTGAAAACTCTGCTGTTTAGCAAATGCTTATGTGGCTAAGAGTTTGATAGCCTGAAAGATCTAATAGGTGAAATTCTGCAGTTTGAGTTTAATGTATTATTAAGGAATTTTGTATGCAGATTAAGTTTTGTTAGGTATGTAACTGAGAGATCTGAGTTATCATACTGAAAAGCTTAGCTTATAAGATTTAGGATAATTTTTGAAGTAGGATAGTCATCTGCAGAATGGGGTTCACACTGTCACCCGTAGTTCTCAACATTGCCTATGGGTTAATAAAGTAATAATAGTGGTCACTCTATTCAGAAACAGGTGTTCTCTGAAAACTCTGCTGTCATTTATAGCACAGCAAGTGAGCCAGAAGCAAAGACTAGAGCATGCTGTACTGTGGCTGAGCAGCTCTTTTATGTCATAATGCAGTTGTGTGGATCTACACTGAGATATCAGTCCTTCCTCTTCTTTCTGGTGAAGCTTATTGCCTGGCTTTCCATTGCTAAGGCCACTCATTTAGTTGTGTATAAGCATCTACAGACATGTCTGGAAATGGGGTTTGGTGGTTAGTGCCCTGGTTCCTGTAGCAGTGGGCTCTGCCTCAGCAGCTTTGTTTGACCATTTAATATGTCTTCTATTTGTGGTTTCCAAACTAGAGAGGACTCAGGGAAAAATAAAACACTTGTGGCAACTATGTTTTAAGAACATGTCCTTTTCTTCAATTCTGAAGTGACAAACATACTGACAGTGTGTTGAGCTTTTCCAGGAATACATTTCACCAAGGTCAGAGGTGACGGTACATGGGTAGAAGGAGCTAAGTGCTGAAGCAGCCTGAGGTAAACGTGGTGTCTGAACATTTTTGCTTTTTTCTCCAAGGACTAAATGCATGGTGGAAAATGAATGCTCTATGAAGTAATGGAAAGACACAGAAAGTAACCTCAATATACACTAATACATGAAGGAAACCTGTCTGAAAAAGTAACATACTGTGTGATTCTACCTATGTGGTCTTATCAAAATGGTAAAACTATGGAGATGGTAGAGGTCAATGGGGATCCACAGCTAGGAGGGAATATAAATAGGGAGAGCATGGAGAAGTTTAGGGGAGGGGAAATGACTGCATGACAATATGACAGTAAATGCCCATTTTTATACAAACTCCCTAGGATGTGTTGTATAAAGAGCCTCCCAGGCATGGTGATGTATACTTATCATTCCAGAACTGAGATGGAAAATCAAGGTTACATAGTGTATTTGAGAGCAGCCACTGAGAGAGAGGGGACACACACACACACACACACACACACACACACACACAGACACACAGACACACAGACACACACACACACACACACACAGAGAGAGAGAGAGAAACTGACAGAGACAAAGAGACAGAGAGAAAGACAGAGACAGGATTGAAGATGCCATGTGGAAGAGTTGAAGCCAAGAATGCAGGCAGACATCCCGTTCTGTTCTTTCAAGCAGGAGTGCCTCTTCACCAAAAGCCTGACTTTAGGACTTTAGGACCTTAGGAATCTGGAAACTAGAAAGCTTATGTTGCTTTAAACCTCCACATTTGAGAATATGAGTAAAATCTGAAAAACATTCATTATGGTATTTCTGCCAAAATTATTTAATCTGAATCTAAACATGAAGAAAAAGTTGTATATTCAGGATGTGGGTCATGCTGCATACAAGAGAGCTGTTCAAAAGTGAACACCCAAGGATTCCAGCAGGCACTGGAAGTTAACAGCGAACATTGAAGACAGCCAGATGGTTAGAGGCCAGCATAAAAGCAAAAAGACAAAGCAATCTGGCATCTCCAGAATCCAGTTATCCAGAGGCAAGTAGCCCTGAACACCCTAACATAAGTGAAATTTAAGAAGATGACCTTACATCAATGTTTTTGAAGAGTATAATGGAGGAAACAAATAAAATGCATAAGGAATTAGAGGAAGATAAAGTCAAACAGATTATGGCCATCCATAAAGAAATACAGGAAGATACAGCCAAACAGTTTGTGGCTTTCAGAGAGGAAATGGCTAAATCACTGAAAAAAAAAATAAAAGAAACAGAGGAATGTTCAAACAAACAGGTGAAGAAATTGAAGGAAAAACAGGAAAGGTCACACAGGTGAAGGAAATCAAACAGTTCAAGATCTGAGGATAAAACTGGAAAAATAAAGGAAACACGAATGGAGGAAATCACGGAGAGGAAGAACTTAGGAAAGAAAGCAGGAACTACAGAGGTAAGCATAACCAACAGAATCTAAGAGATGGAATAAAGAATCTCAGGTGTGGAAGATATAACAGAAAAAAATAAATGTATCCGTAAAAAAAAAAACAACAAAAAACCATCTAAAAAATTCCTGACAAAAACCACCCAAGAAATCCAAGGCAACATGAAAAGACAAAACCTAAGAATAATAGGAATAGAGGAAAAAGAAGATTCCTGTCTCCAAAGCCCAGAATATATTTTCAACAAAATCATTGAAGAAAACTTCCCCAATTTAAAGGAGAGGCCTATAAGCATACAAGAGGTCTACAGAACACCTAATAAATTAGACCAGAAAAGAAAATTCTCCCGTTACATAAAAATCAAAACAGTAAGTGTACAGAACAAAGGAAAAATACTAAAAGCTGCAAGGGAAAAGGCCAAGTAACATATAATGACAAACCCATTAGAGTCACACCTGACTGCTCAACAGAGACTATGAAAGCCAGAAGGACCTGGATGGATATCATGCAAATTCTAAGAGAACACAGATATCAGCCCAGGCTACTATACCCAGCAAAATTCCCAGTCATCATAGATGGAGAAAACAAGATATTCAACAACAAAAACAAATACTACCTACTCACAAATCCAGCGTTACAGAATATACTAGAAGGAAAAATACAACCCAGGAGAGGTAACAATTTTCATGAAAATGCAGGAAATATTAAATAACCTCACTACAGCAAAACTAAAAGTAGCCAAGCACACAAACCCACTACCACAACCAACATCAAAATTAAAGAATCTAACAGCCACTGGTCATTAATCTCTCTCAACATCAATGGACTCAATTCTCCAACAAAAATACTCAGACTAACAGAATGGATGCATAAACAAGACCCAATAATATACATACAAGAAACATACTTAAGTCGCAAAGATAGACATTACCTGAGAGTGAAGGGCTGGAAGACGGCTTTCCAAGCAAATGGACCCAAGAAACAAGCAGTAGTAGCCACTTTAATATCTAATAAAATAGACTTTCAGTTAAAATTAAACAGCCTTAATCCTGACCAAAGTCCATCTCTTGCTCAATACTTAATATTTTATTAGGCCTGGTTTAAATTTGGCCTAAAATGTTGGAATTGGTTTTTCTCTGGCAAATTTCAGGATTAACAGTTGCAGCACCTAGAATTATAATCTTTCCAGTCACAGATGCCTATATTCAGTGTGAAAACACAGACAATAACAGCCAGCACAATATGTCTTCACAAGAGCCCAATAAACCCACCACAGCAGGCTCTGAGTGTTCCACTGTAGCTGAAACGCAAGAAAAAGACCCTAAAACAGCATTTATAAATGTAATAGAGGTCCCTAAAAAGAAAATTAAGAAATGCCTTAAAGAAGTCTGTGAAAACACAGTGGTAGGAAAAGAATAAAACCACTTAAAACCTGAAAGTAGAAATAGGATCAATAAAGAAAACTCAGACTGAGTGGTCCTTGGCTGGAGTATCAGTTTCAGAAAAGATATCTGTGCCCAGAATTTTAGGATCTGTTGCTGTCTTTGTGGAGCTCCTTTCCTCTTCAGGTCTTACTATCTCCACTTCTTTCATAAGATTCCCTGTACTCTGCCCAAAGTTTGGCTATGAGTCTCAACATCTGCCTTGAAACCCTGCAGGGTAGAGCCTTTCAGAGGCCCTCTGTGGTAGGCTCCTGTCCTGTTCCCTGTTTTCTTCCTCCTCCGATGTCTATCCTCTTTGCCTTTCTGAATGGGAATTGAGCATTTTAGACAGAGTCCTCCTTCTTGATTAGATTCCTTAGGTGTACAGATTTTAGTATGTTTACCTTATATTATATGTCTAGTATCCACTTATGATACCCTGTGTGTCTTTCTGCTTCTGGGATACCTCACTCAAGATGATCTTTTCCAGTTCCTACCATTTACTTGCAAATTTCATGATTTCCTTGTTTTTTGTTTGTTTGTTTGTTTGTTTTATCACTGAGTAATAGTCCATTGTGTACTACAATTTCTATATCCATTCCTCAATTGAGGGGCATCTGGGCTGTTTATTTTATTTACAAATAAAGCTGCTACAAACATGGTTAAACAAATGTCCTTATTGTATATTTGAGCACTTTGTACTCAGGAAAAATCCAAGAAGATGACATTTCAATTCTAGCAACTACTCCCTAAACACAAGGTTACTCAATTTTGTAAAAGAAACATTACTGTAGCCTAAACCACATATTGACCCTCACAAAGTGAGATTTCAATATCTCACTCTTGCCAATAAACAGGTCATCCAGACAAAAACTAAATATAGCAATGATGGAGCTGACTGACATTATAAGACAATGGATTTAACAGTTATTTATAGAACATTTCTCCCAAATACAAAGAAATATACATACCTTTTCTCAGGACCTCATGCAACTTTCTTCAAAACTGACCACATATATAGACAGAGAGCAAGTCTCAAAAGATACAAGAAAATTTAAATAACAGACTACATCCTCTCTGACTGCACATATTAAAGCTGGATATCAACAACAGAAATCTTAGAAACTCATGGAAGCTGTTCATTTCTCTACTGCATAAAAATTCAATCAAGAGAGAAATAAGGAAAAACATTAAAGACTTTCTAGAATTAAATGAAAATAAATACCCAGTATACACAAATTTAGGTGACACAATGGTGTTTCTAAAGGCAAGTTCACAGCTCTAAGAGCCTACATTAAAAAAAAATGGAGAAGCTAGGTGTGGTAGCATCTTTAATCCCAACACTCATGAAGGCAGAGGCAGTAGATCTCTGTGAGTTCAAGGCCAGCCTGATCTACAAATTGAGTCCAGGACAGCCAGGGATATATACAGAGAAACCCTGTCTCAAACAAAACAAAACAAAACAAAACAAAACAAAACAAACAAACAAGGAGACATCTCATACTCATAACTTACCAGAATTGCTTGAAATCTCTAGTACAAGGAGAAATCATAACCAAAAGGATTATACGATAAGAAATAATCCTTGAATTTTAGTTATTCTAGAGCTATTGTAATGAAAACACTATGATACTATGTTATATTAATTAAATAAAGTGTTGTTGGACTATATACCTATCTTTAGCAAGGCAGTATTATCTAACCTGCTATCACAAACGATAAAACACAGACACCTGTTAGATTTTATATTTATGGTTCTGAGCCTAGCTTTTAATGGTTGAGCCATCTCTCCAGGCCAAAAAGAAAATAATCTGTTTGATTTTATAATTGCCTTATTTACCTTGGACCAGGCCAATATTCCTACCTACGCTGTCTGAATCACCTCACATCCATCTCCCAGCCCCCATCTAATGCCATCTTCCTTAACCATCCTATCTTCCATCCATAATCTAATAAATACTTGCTTTTATTCTTCATCTGGGGCTTTTCACACCAATACTGGAGTCCTTCCTCCTGGTGCCCATGTGGTTTCTTCTCCAGGCTAACCCATCGTGGCATCCTCCTTCTTCCTCTCTTTCTGTCCAGTCATTCTTCCTTTCTCAAAAGCCTAGGAACATTAGCCATGCCTACCCTATTCTGCCCTGACCCACGAATAGGCTATTAATGAACCAATCAGGCATATTGTTTTAGGCAGGTTTACACAAACAAGGATGGGTGTACCTGGCAGGCAGTAATGAAATCTTGAGGACCAGTAATTAGCATTAGCCCAGCCTCCAACACTACAGGCACAAAACAAATTGACAAATGTAACAGAACTGAAAATACAGATGTAAGCACACACTTCTACAGCCATCTGGTTTATGACAAAAGGGCCAACAATGTGCATTGAAAAATATACCATCTTCAATTCTATATGCTGGACAAACTGGATAGCTTTAAGTAGAACATTGAAATTAGATCCTATCTCATCCTCCACAAAACTCAACTCCAAATGGACCAAGGACCTCAACACAATCCTTATATCCTGACTCTGATAGAGAAGAATATAGGAACAGTAATAGGCCTTCTGAACAGAAGCCATTCAGTGTAGGCATTAAGACTAACAACAGACAAATGGGACTTTTTGAAATTATATATATGTGGCAAAGGATACCATCATTCTAGAGAAGAGGGGGTTACAGTTAAGAGATTGCCTTGAGTCTCAGAACATACTTTGAAAGTTGGACTTTTACACAATGTTAATACTTTTATATGGACTATTTATTTTTGAAGTTGGACTAAACACATTTTTACATTGTAATATGGCTATAAGCTTATTGGGACCAAAAATGGAATGTGGCGGTTTGAGTAAGAACTGGCCTCACAGGCTCCTGAATTTGAATGCTCAGTCCCTGGGGGGGGGGGGGGCAGGCCTGTGGCCTTGTGGCAGTAGATGTAGACTTGTAGGAAGCATGTCACTGGGGGTGGGCTTTGGGGTTTCTGAAGTTTGAGCCAGGCCCAATGGTTCTCTGTCTCAGCTGTCTGCCAGTCCAGATGTAGAATTCTCAGAACTTTTCCAGTTCCATGTTTGCCTACATGCTTTCTGGCATGACAATAATGGACTAAACCTCTGATACAGTAAGTCCACCCCAGTTAAATGCTTATAAGAGTTGTGGTCATGGTGTCTATTCATAGTAATAGAACACTGACTTAGACTTTAGAGTAGAAGCTTCTTAAAATATGTACATACAAATATATAAATGGGATTTAAATGGAGTTACTTTTTAATGAGGGATTAATGCTTCTCTCAGACACCATAGCTATTAAATAAAAAAGCTAGTGCTAAGTATGGGTTGCTGCGTTTTCAGTTATTGGCTGGTGGGATTTCATAGAGTCCTTTGGACCCCAATATCACAGGCTATTGCTGCTGTTCTTAATTACCACCCAGAACCTGATAGGAAGACCCTGATTCTGAAGATACCACATACTTAGGTCATAGGCCATGAAGAAATCAAGCTGGTATTAATCGAGAAGCCTTAGTGTTATTGGCTTTTCTTCATAGTGCCAGAAGGTTCTAGGTATCATACTGGTAAGAAATGTTATCAACAGCTTGACCTAGATATGGACCCTATGAGTTTCAATAATGACTGTCCTGGCAAGATATTAAACATTGATACAATAGTGGCGTGAATGTTCTGTTAGTAACCAAACTATTATTTCTTTTTTCTTTTTATTGCTTCTTTGTGAATGTCATCTCATGCACCCCAATCCCATTCATCTCCCCATTCCTTCATATCCACCCTCTGTTCTCACAACCTCTTACAACCTTTGTTTCCAGAAGAAAACAAACTAACAAACAAATCTTACTGTAGAAGCTGTAATGTGTCACACTGAGTCAGGTAGTATATCTTTTTGCCAAACTGTTCTTGCAAATATTTGTCGCGGTGAGTCATTCATCTGATTTGAGGCCTATGGATTCTGACACACTAGCAGTCCTGGATCCTCACTGGGACTCATCTTTGATACCATGTTGTTGCTTTGTGTTGTGGAGCTCTTGTGGCTTTGGTTCTAGAAAACCAGCCCATTCCAAGTTCATCAGTTTATACATGTAGTAGATGCTTTGTTGGACCTACTCTATGTCCTGGATCTGGGTCTGGGTGTTAGCTGAGTTGGTCAGCCTGAAAGCTCTCCTGTACCCATGCCACCTGTGTCAACTCCAATACTGCCCAGGTGAACGGCAGGATCAACTTACCTAAGTGCTGCAGTTGGCAAGGAGCAAGCCCAGCTCTCCCTCACTCATTCCCTCGGAGACTGCTATCCTGTGTGCATGCCACCAGGGATATTTGTACTGTGCTGCCCAGGTGAGTTGCAGGGTCTGCCCTCGCTAGTGCTTCAGATGGTAAGGGGCGGGACCAGCTTATCTGCTCTCATGCCCTTGAGGCCAGATCACCCACTTATCACAGGTAAGGCTGGGGACATCTCTCCCATGCTTATGCCACTACTGCAGGGCAGATGAGGGGTATTCTTTGTTCCCTTAAACTCTCTCTAATGAAATACTTCTTTCTAAAATTTATTCTATGTAGTCCAAGAATTTCATTTTTAAAAGTTT